GCTGGGTTTGGCTGCTGACCCAGTGCAGCCACCACAGAAGTAAACATTTATCTCAGTTTTCTGTTTCAGGAAGAATGGGAGAGAACTTATTATTTGTGGTACTGTATCTATCCATACCTTAATCACTCCAATACTCAGTGCACTATTTCTTAGGAAGAAAAGCCTCATAACTCTTACGTGCTTGGAGAGTGTTAGAGCTGCATTCTCAAGGGGAAAGTGAAATGCCTAAAAAGAACGTCCATTGAAATCTTGATTTTATTCAAAGGACTGATTCTTTTCTGAGTGTAGAGTAACACACAAGGTGTCCTGTGCGTTGGTTGCCATGATTTAGTGCCAGTTTAGCAAACCCATGTATTCAGAGGAAGGAGGACTGTCTGCCCTCTCCAGTACAGGCTTCTGGACAGGCACACACACCACATCCTTCTCTCTAAATTGGAGAGAGATGGATTTGAAGGATGGACTGGATAAAGAATTGGCTGTATGGTTGCAGCCAGAGGGTTGTGGCGAATGGCTCTATGTCCAGGCGGAGGCTGGTGACAAGTGGTGTCCCCAAGGGATCAGTCTTGGGACCGGTGCTCTTCAACACCTTTATCAATGGTGAGTCAAACTCGGTGGCAGTGCTCAGTGATGCTGCCTCTGGCTTTCTGATGGTCTCTGGTTAGGATACTCTGTGTTGCATGAAGCGCTGTAGTTATCCATCAGTATCACATACACATTGTAGCCTGTTTATAAAAAACCCCAAACTCTGGCAGCATTGAATTTACAGTAGATTAAAAGAAAATAGCTTAGGTTGGAACAGACCTCTGGAGATCCCTTGGTCAGGCCTGCTGCACAGAGCAAGTCTAATGGGATCAGGTTGCTCAGGTCTGCGTCCAGTTGAATCTTGAACACCTCAAAGGACAGAGATGCCACAGTCACTCTGTGCAGCCTCTTCTAGTGTTTGACCACCCTTATCATAGAAAATATTTCTCCTTTTATTTAATCAGAATTTCCTATGTTCCTACTTGTGTCTGTTGCCTCTTGTCCTGTCACCTCTGAGAAGAGTTTGGCTCTAGCTTCTCTGTATCCTCCAGCCAGGTAGTTGCAGGCAGCACTGAAGTCACCCCTGAACCTTCTCTGGGCTTCACAGATACAGCTCACTCAACCTCTCCTCAGTGCGACCGGTGCTCCAGCCTTGACCTTCTTTAGTGACCCTCTGATGGGCTTCCTTCAGTAAGTCCATGCCTTTCCCACACTGGGGAGCCCAACTCTGGACATTGTTCCAGGTGTGGTCTCAGAAGTATCATATAAAGGGGAAGGATCCTGGACCTACTCTTGGCCACCTTTGCCATGTATGGTACATTGCTGGCCTACGGTCAAGTTGTTGTCCACCAGGGTCCCAATCATCCCCCAACCTCTGGTTGTTCAATGAGCTGTCCCATTCTGGGTGCAGGACTTGTGTTTGCTTTTGTCGAACTTCATGAGGTTCCTGTCAGCCCAGCCTTGCAGGGTATTGCCCGCTCCCCCACTTTGGTGTCATCTACATAGTCTAGATGAATGGTAAAAGAGTGCATCTAAATTATCTTAATCGGTTTTAAACCAAGGAGTTGAACCAGCTTAGAGGCTTCCTTTGAGAGAGACAGAGTTAGACCCAGCAAGCTCCCCTTGGATTATGGTGTGAAGCCAAGATGAGATGTTCAGAACCGTTGTAGAGCCCTTGTTGAGTTGTATGTTTCTGGCTTTAATGCAGTCAAACTAACTTCACAAAATAAATCACATTTTGAAAGTTAGAAAGTCTTCTAGAGCATGAATTCCTAGGTGGCTCTTTCTGTTGCAAATGAAATTTGCCTCAGTGCTCACAGCCCACACGCAGCCCCGTGCAGCACTGGGGTGGTTTCAGCTGATGCTTCTCCAACTTGTGAAAATATGGAAGAGATGTTCCCGGTGAGAAGAGCTCTTCCTTGCTCTCGGCTCGAGCACGCTGATTGCAGAGGGGAAGCTGGGAGCTTGAGTGGAAGAGGGAGTCAGGAGAGGGTATTGTAAGGCAAGGTAATTTGGGGAAAAATTGGATTAAGTGATCATAGACTCATCGTGTCAGTTGAATTTGTTCCTCTCTCTGTCATAGCCAAGGTATACATTACCTGGCTTTTCCTGCTCCAGATCCCCAGTTTATGGTAAATTAGTGTATCAGAATGTTCTTCCAATGTTCTCTGCTCTCCCAAATTCCAGGAGATTTATATCAGCGATGGCCTCCATCCTGCAAAGTTGGCGTTGTTCCAGGAAAGCACTTCAGCCAGTAATTAATTTTCAACTTGCATACGTAAAAGTTAAGGACACATTTAAGTGCTTGACCAGGGTGCTTGGTATTGTGAAGGTCTGAGCCCTCTGAGAAATGACTGGATCTGCTTTTCTTAATGGAATTCAGTCTGTCACATAAAAAGATGTCATAATCTTTCCCTTTCTATCCCCGCTTTCAGGAGACAACCATTGTTCTTGGATCAAACAAAAAAAGAAAAGGCCGTTTTGAAGGAAAAAAAAGAGTAATTAGAGGGCTGCCCCATGTTCAGAGTGCATGCATGTGCTTAATGGGAACTTTTACTGCTGCCGAGTGGATCACTTAATCCTTTTATTTCTGTAGCTGGCATTTCCTCTTTATTTTTTTTCCCAAACATCAATACCTTTATAAAGCACTCATCTGTTTTTGATTTAGACAAATGTGCCATGAAACTCCAGCCAAGGGATCCAAAAAGTTTTATAAATTGACAGGCTAGCTAGTCTTTAATTAGCGTAGGAGAAAAGTGGTTCTTTATTTGTTTTTGCTACACTCATGTGATTTATACAGAACACGGCTGGAAGAAGAAAAAGACCAGCACAACTGGTTTTACTTAGCTTAATGCACAGGCAAAATATTCTTCCAGTTACACAACTAGAAAGGGAAAAAAAAAAATCTGCAAAGCCACATATATTATCGGCTGAAATTTGCACCTTATAAACAAGATCTGGTTACTTGACCATGGCACTCAGATGAAATCCAAAGCGGCAAGGTGTTCACGTATTTTCTGTGTCCCAGAGCCCTTTATTTCTTTTCCTAAGCTCTGATATTCTTATGCTTTGTACACCCAACACAAGAAAAATGTTGTTCCAGTCCAACTAAACATCTTTAGATGTTTGTTCGGGAAACCTTCTCATTTTCCCAAGGAAAGAAATACAGAGTGATACTGTAGCTCAAGTAAATAAACATCCTTAAATTTTTGTTCAGGAAACCTTTTCCATTTTCCATGGCAATAAATGCACAGCTGGAAAAACCCCTGGCTCATCAGCATAGCCATCTCTCAGCAATCTCTGTTCATAACCCTTAGGATCTGAAGAACAGATTCCTCTAGCCCAATGATCAACTCACTAAGGAATTATTTAGGGATCCCAGGCAGATTTAATTTAGCAATATTTTAATTTCAACAGATTAATTGAACTAAGTCATAACTGAATCTGTAGTAGGTTTTGTCTGGGAATATGCAAAGACTTTTTTTAAGGACATGCAAGTGTTTTGGTGTCTCCAGCCTACAGGTGAGAGCAGGGTTGGTGAGAGCAAACATCCTGTTCCCAGGTCAGTCTCAGTGACATGACTGGGGCCAGACTTCCAGCAGCTGAGTGCAAACCTGGTGTAACCCGAACAGCATCCCTTCCCACAGGGCATGTGACTTCCCTAGGACATCACTGGGAGGGTCTTGTGCAGTACTTCATGCCTGGGGACACTTTTGCTGTCTTGTCCTTCCTGTATCTTTAACTCCTGATGCGATGGATGGGGCAGAAGTTGACGTATTTGAGAGGAGATGTACAGTAGGACTGGAGAAGTTCACAAAATCCAGTATGACTCCTCAGACAGAGCACATGGCCTGATAGCCAAAATAAAATCCTTTTTTTGCTCTTCAGTGTGAGAGGTTGAGGAACGCACTGTTTTGGGAGCGGTTTGTTTTCCTGGGATGACTGCATAGTGTTCAATACGACAGTCACCAGAATAGGAGACCAAATGGCAGACTCACTAAAGCCTGTGTCCTCCCAGCTCCTGAGAACAACGTATGGAAACAGTGATGGGCCGAGGAGATGCTCGGTGTGCGCGCGGTTGAGAGGAGGCACGAGGGAATCGTGTAGTCCTTGTTGAACACATCAAGCCAGGGACTTTACATCATTGGTGGGATGACCTAAACGTGCTTAACGGAGCATTTATTTAATTTTTTCCCCTCCTTCCCTGCAGGTCCCAAGGGAAGAAGAAAGAAGCTGTCATCTTACTGCGGGACTCTATTAAGTACGGCCCAGAGTTTGCGGACGCTTACTCCAGCCTGGCCTCGCTGCTCGCCGAACAGGTAACGGGCACCGCTCGAGCTCTTGGGCCGCGTGTGCGTGCGCTGCTGCCACAGCCACAGTACCTCCTGTGCATCGCAGTGGAGCACCCTTCCCTTACACACATGTGGTGGCAGGCGTGGGTCTGCCACTGCCGGCAGAGAGCTCTCGGGTGGCTTTAGAGGTGACGTTTTCAGGGTAGGAGGCAACTCACTGGCAGTGGGTGATTACAGCCACATGACGTGGCTCTGAGTTAAAGCAGTGTTGAGGTTGTGGGTAAATACCCTCTCTGCAGCTCTGCCCATCTGCGGAGAAGACTTAATCCATCGCACCTTGAATGTTGTGATGGTAGAGTAGGTGAGTGCTTCCCCCTCAGGCGCACAAACCTAAGTAGATAACCTTGAGATTTCATAAGGAATCACTCCAAGGCTAGGAAATGTCAGAAACCAGGTGACCTCTGCAGCCCAAATTCACAGAATCGTAGAGTTGCCTCGATTGGAAAAGACCTTTGAGATCATCGAGTCCACTCATTAACCCAACACTGACAAGTCCCCGACTAACCCATGTCCCTCAGCACTATGTCTACACCACTCTGAAATCCCTCAATCCCTCAAAACCAGATTTTTTCCTCCCCAAAGTTTCAGATCTAACTGTTCCATAGCACAGGATGCTAAAGCTTTCTTAAAAGGTTGCCAAATGCATATGCAGACAAAGCAGAAGAATATAATCCTTCCCTGTTTTCCGTTAATCTGCTTAGTGAAATCTCCTCTCTGTAAGGGAAATGGATACATTTCAGCAAAACTCTTAAGCAGAGGTCTTGTTCTCCTTTAGGCTTCTTCAGTGATGTAGGCACTCTGCACAATTCACCGATGAAACATGTGCATTACTGAAATATGTGCTATGTTATTTTCCCTTTTAATTGACTTTCATGTATTTTAATATTATCTTATAGCGGCCTTCCTATACCTGAAGGGCCTACAAGAAAGCTGGGGAAGGACTTTTCATAAGGACAACTAATGACCAAACAAGGGGAAATGGGTTCAAGCTGAAAGAGGGGAGGTTTAGATGAGATATTAGGAAGAAGTTCTTCACTGTGAGGGTGGTCAGACACTGGAACAGGTTGCCCAAGGAAGTTGTGGATGCCCCCTCCCTGGAAGTGTTGAAGGCCAGGCTGGATGAGGCTTTGAGCAACCTGATCTAGTGGAAGGGGTCCCTGCTGATGGCAGGGGGATTGGAACTAGATGATCTTTAAGGTCCCTTCCAATCCAAACCATTCTGTGATTCTATGATAAGATCAGCTGCTGGGACCTAGAAATATAGGGTAAGAATTGAAGGAAGAACCTCGTTGAGTGGGAGCTGTGTTTTGAATAAGACCATCAATGAAGAGTCTCCTGCAAGTGTAGGAAATGAGTCCTCTGCAGTAATAACTGGTTTTAATATTAATTGAAATTATTAATTAGAACCATTGATTGTAAGGTCAACAGAGCATTAAAACCGTTATAAAGTCCTGAGGCCTTCTACCCAAAGCAAATGCCATTAGTAACTCCACCAATAATTCATCTACTCTTAAATATAAATTGTTCATCCTCTTGTGACTTGAGTAAGTGATGGGGAAAAAAGATAGTTAGTACAGTTTCCTCAGAAAAGAGCAATTTCCTGCAGGCTTTTAACACCATGTCATAGAATCATAGAATCATTAAGGTTGGAAAAGACCTTTAAAATCATCAAATCCAACTGTCAACCCAACACCACCATGCCCAAACCATGTCCCTCAACACTATGTCTACACGACTCTCCAATCCTTCCAGGGATGGGGACTCCACCACTGCCCTGGGAAGCCCCTTCCAATGCCTCAGAACCCTTTCAGCAAAGAAATTCTTCCTCACATCCCATCTCAACTGCCCTGGCCACAACTGGAGGCCATTTCCTCTTGTCCTGTCCCTTGGTCCTTGGTTGAACAGACCCACCCCCACCTCTCTCCACCCTCCTCCAAGGGACTTGCACAGAGCCAGAAGGTCTCCCCTCAGCCTCCTTTTCTCCAGGCTCAACAACCCCAGTTCCCTCAGCCACAAGGGAACTCAGCACACTTGTGCTCCAGACCCTTCCCCAGCTCCGTTCCCTTCTCTGGACACGCTCCAGCACCTCCATGTCCTTCTTGGAGTCAGGGGAAGAATGGCTGGACATGGGTCAGTGAAATAGTGCTGGGGTTGTCTTGGTGGGTCCCACACAGTGTGTTCCCCCCTATCTTAAATGCAGTGAATCCAAAATAGGACTTAGGGGTCCTTTCCTCCTACAGCTGTAAAAAGTGCTCTGTAAAGACTATCTCATGTACCAGGGAATTAGCCTGTTACTTGATGTAATTGCCCTTTTCTGTCTTTGGTAGTTGATTATGAAGCCAGAGCTGACATGGAAAAAGCCACCACCACGTTGTATAAAACAGTTTGGTTTGTTTGTGCCTTTTATAAGCACCTGCCCTTCTTACTGCTCTTTCTGCTGGGTATCGTAACTCCCTCACAATGTATTGTTGTTTTGCTTGTTTTCCATGCTGGCTGCAGTGGTGCTAATATCAGAAATGAAACAGTTTTGTGTACTGTTTTCACAACCCTCCTGAAATGCTGGTTCCACAGGATTTACTCTGATGCACTTGAACAGCATCTTCTCCCCAGAACTTGCAGTTTCCTCAGCTGTCTTGGGCTCCTTGATCGCTCTTTGCAGGCCCTAGTTTCTGGATTCAAGTGATTTGAGGAATGTGTGTGTAATAATATCAGCCTACACTAAGAAAAGGAAACTTTTTAACCCACTTAGCTGCAAAGGAGAGCCCACTCAGGCGTAACCAGACTGAAAAACTGAGCCATAAAAAAAATAGACTTAAAAACCCTGGAGTTCAGCTGAGAGATCCTCTCATGCATGGAGGTTTTGGGGTTTTTTTAATATCATAAAAATCTCATACATTTTTTAAGCCAATCTTCTGAATTTTGTGAGGTTGATGAATGTTTCATGAAGGTCTGGGAATGGCATTATTAAGTGTTAATGAGAATCAAGCTTTGATGAACTTAAGAATATTTCTCTCAAGGAGAGGAGAGGCTGCGAGGGAGAAAACTCTGGCACAAAAAGCTGGTCCCACCCTTCCCAATTTCTGACCATGCTTAATGCAAACACTTTGTTAGAGAAATCATCTCAGAGACTGTGCTGAGCCTGAGGCATGTAGGGGCAAGATGTTAGGGGCCAAAAAAAGCAATGCAACTGTGAAAAAAATGCTAAAAGTGCTCAATATTGGTGAGTGTGTTTTGAGATGGTACACTGCTCACCCAGTTTAACGCAGCCCTTCCATGCTTTAAAGATCAGGTTTATGTTCAGGATCGAAAATGAAGAAAGCTGACATATATGCACACAAAGCCACATTCTTTGGCTGAAAATTAAAATCAGAGGAAAAGAAATTCATCCAGAAAGCTTTGAAAATATGTTTGCTCATGTCTTGGTGACACAGGTGCTTTCTCAAAAAGTTGCTCTTTGTTTTAGTCAATTCTGACAATTGCTACACTTTTCTTGACCCTGCGGGATAATGATGTCAGATTCATATAACTATATCCAAAATGTCCAAACTCAGGCACTTTTAAAAAAACGTGTTTCTGTGTTTTATCACACACTTATCTTTTCTGCTGGCTGACCTTTTATCATGTAAATGTGAAAGCGCTTAACCATGGCAGACTGTGTGCTTTCATCAAGTCATATTATTCCAATGCAGTTAATTCCAGCTCTCCAGTTGTGAAATAGGAGGTGAGAAAGGAGTCCACACATTTCAGCAGCTACAGAGCAAAAGCTGCCGTCAGGCACACCCTTTAAATCCAGAGAAAGCCCTGGAGGCTCCAGGGTTTCATAGAATCATAGAATGGTTTGTGTTGGAAGAGACCTTAAGGATTGCCCTTTCTGCCATGGCTAAGAAATCTCCTTCTCTTTTAAGGAACGGCTGAAGGAAGCGGAGGAGGTCTATAAGGCTGGCATAGAAAATTGTCCAGAGAGCTCCGATCTGCATAACAACTACGGTGTTTTCTTGGTCGATGCGGGTGAGTAAAAAGGAGCAAGGGATTTTTCCTCTCTGCTGTATTTGCTTTGATTTGTTTTATTCAGAGTAGGCATCTGAAAGGATGTCAGAAGCTTCCAAAGCAATAGATGTGCCTCCTGCAGAACTATCCCTGTGCTGCTGAGGTGGCAGAGCATACAGATATTTGTAATCACTGCAGGCACGATGCGGCAGTGGCATTCAACCCGGCTGTTTCCTACAGTGTTTCTCCCCGTCTTCACACGGAGGTTGTCCTCTTCAATTTGAGCTGGGTTAGCACCCTGACAATGCTACTGTTTCTCCAGGAAAGCCTGACTGCGTCAAACCAAATCCCAGGTACACAAGTGAATCATTATGGTCTTTGGAGCACTTGCAACTCTACTTGGTGAGAAAGCAGCTCTTCAGCTGTAAGGTTGAGTGCCGCCGCTAAAGAAACAACCATGGCTTTTAAACCACAATCATCTGTGAAAACAAAACCTAAGATACTCGGAGGTGAATTGATTTCTCAGAGTTTTGTAATGACATCCAAAGTCTTTATTTTCCGAGCTCCTGGTTCCCATCCAACTTCCCTGGACTCAAGCACTTTGTCTAAATGCTTCTGGAATCTTGTCAGGCTTGGTGCCATGAGCACCTCCCTGGGGAGCCTGTGCCAGTGCTCCACCACCCTCTGCCTCAAGAACCTTTTCCTCATGGCCAACCTCACCCTCCCCTGACACATCTTCCTGCCATTCCCTCTGCTCCTGGCATTCGTTGGTGGCCAGAGAGAGGAGATCAGCGCCTGCCCCTCCTCTTCCCCTTGGGCGGGAGTTCTAGAACGCAGTCTCCTCTTCAGGCTGAACAAACCAAGAGCCTTCAGCCTCTCTTCATACCCTTCCCCTCTAAACCCTTCCCCAATGTTGTGTCCCTCCTCTGGACACTCTCCAGGAGCTCTAGATCCTTTTTCTCCTGTGGTGCCCAAACTGCCCCCAGTGCTGAAGGTGAGAGCAGAGCGGGACGATCCCCTCCCTCGCCCGGCTCACAGTGCAGTGCAGTACCAGTGTGAAAGAAATACAAAGCCAAAGTGAGTATTCATAATGAAAAAAAGCATCATGGCTTTAGCAACAGAGGTTCTGAATTTGTGCCCTGGCAAAACTCAAGCTTGCAAATAATAAAAAATTGCCGGTAATTTTACACTGACGTTGGATCATCTTTGCTTCGCATCCCAGATAAACTGCCCTATTCCTGCCAAAAATCGTGGTTCGAATGCAGTGCAGTGCACTTTCTATTCTTTGCGCTTGTGTATTCTGCCAAAGTCACACCTAAGCTTTTCGTGGTTTACTCCTGCACTTCACTGTGCACAAACAACAAGAAAAAAAACCCACTGACGTTTGATACTTCAGGCATGATGTGTGAATAACTCTCCTGCAGACGTGACAAGGTGTGAAAGAAGTGGCTGGCAGGGAGCTGCTCACAGGCTGTGCTTTTCCCCAGCAGGCACAGGGAGATGCTGTGAAGCACAGCTCCAGATCACCTGTGGGGTTTTGTGCAACTAGCCTCAAGCAAGTGTCACCTCTGGAGAGCCATGGAATCATAGACTGGTTTGGGTTGGAAGGGTCCAGTTCCACCCCCCCTGCCATCAGCAGGGACACCTTCCACTAGACCAGGTTGCTCAAAGCCTCATCCAACCTGGCCGCAAACACTTCCAGGGAGGAGCAGCCACAGCTTCTCTGGCCAACCTGGGACACTGGCTCACCGCCCTCAGGGTGAAAAATTTCCTCCTCATATCTCGCCTAAATCTCCCCTCTCTTAGTTTCAAACCATTTCCCCTTGTCCTGTCATTCTCTGCCCATGTATGAAGTCACTCTCCCTCCTGGACATGGAGGTGCTGGATCATGTCCAGAGAAGGGCAGCAGAGCTGGGGAAGGGTCTGGAGCACAAGTGTGCTGAGTTCCCAGCTGAGGGAACTGGGGTTGTTGAGCCTGGAGAAAAGGAGGCTGAGGGGAGACCTTGTGGCTCTGTGCAAGTCCCGTGGAGAGGGGTGGGGGTGGGTCTGTTCAACCAAGGAGCAAGGGACAGGACAAGAGGAAATGGGCTCCAGTTGTGGCCAGGGCAGTTGAGATGGGATGTGAGGAAGAATTTCTTTGCTGCAAGGGTTCTGAGGCATTGGAAGGGGTTGCCCAGGGCCGTGGTAGAGTCCCCAGCCCTGGAGGGATTTCAGAGTGGTGTAGACACAGTGCTGAGGGACATGGGTTAGTCGGGGACTTGTCAGTCTTGGGTTCATGATTGGACTCCATGATCTTAAAGGTCTTATCCAGTCTAGGCAGTACTGGGATTCTGTGAAACAGAACTTTAAGTTTTTTAAGGGGCCAGTTTTCTGGCCCCTTTCTTTTTGCACAGTATTGTATTTATGTGATGCTGGGTGATGTCACGGACTGCAGGACCTTGTGCCAGTAGACATTTTTGCACAGTGAAGCAGTGCCACCCAATGGCTCCTCTACAACACAGAGACGGTGCCTACATCCTCCAAAATAGGCACCTGGGCACCTCTGGTCTGGGATTTATTGCCTGGAGGTAGGAATTAGCTGGTCAATGGTAGCTACTCCCAGTCCTGTTGAGCAACACATAGAGACTGAGTAGGGCCAATGCAACGGAGGTGGAGGGAATAGTCTCTGTGTGGAAAGAGCTGAAACTATTTTCAGCTCTGGTGGGGTTGTGGGGAATATTGAGTGACGTGTTCTCCATGTCTCCATTGCCCTTGTCTCCAGTGGGTCAGGGTGGTAGGACGCTCTACCAGGAGATGGGACACATGTCCTGCTCTCCTCTCTGTGTGCTCTTAGCACAGCGGATGCGTCCCCTCTATAGCATGATGGGAGTTTCAGACTGTAGTCTTCTGGTCACTGTACCCTCAACTTGCAAAAACCCACCCTTAGAAAATCTCTTTCTCAGGAGCATCTCTGAAGATTGGAGCCTAAATCTTAGTTTGGACAGCAACTTTCCTTACACTTCATCTTGAAAGGCTGAGGCAGGTTTTCTTTCTCAAAATAGTTCCCACCCATAGAGCAATAGATGAAAGACAACCCAGAGCGTTACCGCGTGCTGAATTTGCGACGGGATTTTTCTGATGCACCAGTTGAACAGCTCTTTTCCTCTCCAGGGGCTCCTGAGCGAGCTGTGTCCCACTACAGGCAGGCCATCCGCCTCAGCCCTGCTCACCACGTGGCCATGGTGAACCTGGGCAGGCTTCACCGCTCCCTGGGGCAGAACAAAGAGGCTGAAGTGTGGTACAAGCGGTAAGAATTTGGGAGGGGAGGCAGGGGTTTCCCTCTTCCCCCTGTACAGCTTGTCTCTGCTAAAGACCCTCTGATACATTCATCTGTCAGTGCACGTTTGGGTTTTCCTCCCTTCCTTCTCCATCCTTTGGAAACCTGATTTACCATTGCTAATTTGGATATTTTTGAGGGGTGCTTGGAGAAGCAGTATGGACTCAGGCAGTGTTGACTTATCTGGACCGTTCCCAAGCACCCAGGATGGACACACTGCTGGGTTTATGCTCTAATGATAAAGTCAGAGGTTTCTTGGTGGCATGAGCAGGTTCTTAGTGTGACTCCCACCCTGCTCAGAGCTGGTCTATGGATGCTGCACAGCCCGGCACCAAAACCTTGGCACCATCAGGAACTTCCCAGCAATGTACCAGTAGACAGGCTCTGATTCCCATTATGCAGCAGGGTGGACTGGTTTGGGGGGAGGTCTTTGCCTCCTTTTTAGCATCTGTATTTGTGCTCACAGTCTCCAGGTTGTGCCACCATCAGCCATCCCCACCCCTGCTCCGTGCTCACCTGCACTTTGGAGGTGGCCCTCTCCCCTTCTTGGGTGGCCAGAGGGATTGCTGCTGTGGGCACACTCATCCCTCCCTGGGACCTTAAATTGGTGCTCCTCAGGGTGGGGTGAGCAGGATGCAGAGCTGTTCCATCCCAGCACAAGCCACACCTTGCTCTTCCACTTTGATCCCCACACCACCTGGAAGCATCTTGTCCTGGTTTTGCTGGGACAGAGTTAATGTTCTTCTCAGCAGCTGGAGCAGCTGTGTGTTGGGTTCAGTGTGGGATTTGTGATGAGAAGAATGTTGATCAGGTACCAGTGTCATTAGTTGCTGCTGCAGCCCAAGCTCATTGTGTTTGGGGAGTTGCAGGTGCAAAGGGCTGGGAGGGGGGAAGCGCAGTAATTAGCAAAACCCCAAATTGGCATTTGGCTCTGCCAATGGGATATTCCATCTCCTATCCCAGCATGGGCAGGACATGAACCAGGGCTGACTGGAAATCAGGGGGATTCTCTCAGGGATCGCTCAGGCTCTCGCTCTTCTGTGGTTTGGGTTTGGGGACTGTCTGTGCTCCAGGATCACTGGCTGGGACAGGCTGGGCATCGGTCAGTGGGTGGTGAGCAACTGCACTGGGCATCACTCATTTGCATATTCTCTTAGTACTGTTATTATCATTATCATTTTATTTCAATTAGTAAGTTGTTTTTATTTCAACCTATGAGTCTTCTCACCGTTTTCCTTCCAATTCTCTCCCCTCCTGCCTGGGGGGAGAAGAGTGAGCACGTGACTGTGTTTGGCTGCAGCCAAAGAAGTGAAACCACCACACATCTCTTCTCCCAAATTCCAGGGCACTGAAGGTTTCCCGGAAGGCTGAAACCCTGTCCCCGCTGGGGGCTCTGTATTACAACACTGGGCGCTATGAAGAAGCATTGCAGATTTACAGAGAAGCAGCATCACTGCAGCCTTCGAACAGAGAGATCCGCCTGGCGCTGGTGAGTGTGGGGTGAGCTCGGCCAGGGCAGGGCCACAAAAGTGCGGAGGGATAACTGTCTTAGTGTGAATGTGGCCCAGGGCTCAGAGCTTGGTTCTACCTCCACACCAGCCATTCAGCCACCATCTCTCCCACCCTCTTTACCCCTCCTGACCTTAGCCCCTTGTCTCAGACACTGCCTCTCCAGCTGGCATGGAGAAAATCTGAGCTGCCCCTTACTTGCTAGGAAGGGTTAGTCTTTCCACCTTTCCTTGAGGTACCTCTTAACATCACCAACAGGAGAAACAGGAGCCCAGCACGAGGTGCTGGGTGCAGCATTGTGTTTTAAAGAAAGCTGAGCTTTTTTACGATCTTAACCCTTTATAATGCATCTTTGTAGGCTCAGGTTTTGGCAATGATGGGGCAGACAAGAGAAGCTGAAAAGATGACGAACCATCTACTCAATGAGGATGTGGTGTGTCTGGAGTGCTACCGCCTTCTGTCAGCCATCTACAGCAAGCAGGAGCACTATGCCAAGGTACTGTGACCACAGGGTACCCTTGTTCTGAAGCTACTAGAGAGAGTCCAGAGGAGGGACACAACACTGGGGAAGGGTTTAGAGGGGAAGGGTATGAGGAGAGGCTGAAGGCACTTGGTTTGTTCAGCCTGGAGAAGAGGAGACTGAGAGGAGATCTCATGGCAGTCTAGAACTTCCTCCCAAGGGGAAGAGGAGGGGCAGGCGCTGATCTCTTCTCTCTGGCCACCAACGAATGCCAGGAGCAGAGGGAATGGCAGGAAGATGTGGCAGGGGAGGGTGAGGTTGGCCATGAGGAAAAGGTTCTTGAGGCAGAGGGTGGTGGAGCACTGGCACAGGCTCCCCAGGGAGGTGCTCATGGCACCAAGCCTGACAAGATTCCAGCAGCATTTGGCCAAGGCCCTCAGGGACATGGTGTGAATGTTGGGCTTGTCCTGTGCAGGGACAGGAGTTGGACTGGATGATCCTTGTGGGTCCCTGCCAGGTCACAACATTCTGTCATTTGATGATTCTATTTTTTCACTAAAACATTTTTTACCTATGTAGTGGGACTGAAGCTTAGCAGTGTGGCTTTCTTATCACTTATCCCTCCTGCTGCTGGCAGCCCCATTGCCCATCAACCACAGGCATCGGATCTAAAAATGTCATTTCCACATGTGTTAATGGCATGGGGTAAACGAGGGAAGGAGGAAGATGACTCTTGTGTTGGGAGGCCGTAGTGGTGAGGAGAGAATGAGGAGCGGAAAGGCGCAGAATACAGTGACACAATGTCCTCTTGGTTTTTTACAGGCACTTGAAGCTATAGAAAAAGCTCTTCAGCTAAAACCAAAGGATCCAAAAGTCATATCAGAGCTCTTTTTCACTAAAGGAAACCAGCTAAGAGAACAGAATCTCCTTGACAAGGCTTTCGAGGTATGACTGCTCTGAGCCCTATGGATAGTTTCATAGCTTAGGAGACTGAGTTAGCTCATTGCATCTCCCTGGTGCATGCACCCTAGCTGTTGGCCTTGGGAGCTCGGCACCAGTTCAGCAGTGGTACAGCTAAAGCTATGGGGCAGCTGACTTTGCCAGACTTAGCTGCAACTTTTTTCCTCATTCCTGTGAGCCAGCAGAGTGCCCAGGTGGCCAAGAAGGCCAGTGGCATCCTGGCCTGTATCAGGAACAGCGTGGCCAGGAGGACCAGGGAAGTTCTCTTCCTCCTGTGCTGGGCACTGGTGAGGCCGCAGCTCGAGTGCTGGGTGCAGTGTTGGGCCCCTGACTCCAAGAAGGAGATGGAGGTGCTGGAGCGTGTCCAGAGAAGGGAACGGAGCTGGGGAAGGGTCTGGAGCACAAGTGCGCTGAGTTCCCTTGTGGCTGAGGGAACTGGGGGTGTTGAGCCTGGAGAAAAGGAGGCTGAGGGGAGACCTTCTGGCTCTGTCCAAGTCCCTTGGAGGAGGGTGCAGAGAGGTGGGGGTGGATCTGTTCAACCAAGGAGCAAGGGACAGGACAAGAGGAAATGGGCTCCAGTTTTGTCCAGGGCAGTTGAGATGGGATGTGAGGAAGAATTTCTTTGCTGCAAGGGTTCTGAGGCATTGGAAGGGGTTGCCCAGGGCAGTGGTGGAGTCCCCATCCCTGGAGGGATTGGAGAGTCGTGTAGACATAGTGCTGAGGGACATGGGTTAGACGGGGACTTGTCAGTGTTGGGTTCATGGTTGGACTCTGATCTTAGAGGTCTTTTCCAATCGAGGCAGTACTGGGATTCTGTGAAATACAGCTCCCTGCTCTGAGAGGTTAAGTACAGAGTCGTGGTGAGATTACCGAGGAGCCTAGGCCTTTTCTCATTGACCAGACCCTTGTTCCATCCAGCTCCAGCCTGTCTTACTGGTGATGGCCAATTCCAGGTGGCTCAGCTGGAGCTTGGGCACCTGTGAGAGCCCACTATGTTGGTGTATCTCACCTTGTTACCCAGTAGCTGAGAGATTGGCTCATCTCATGGAGCAGGCGGCTTGATAGCTCAGAAATGATGTCAGTGTTAAATAATAGCACAGAATGTTATTGGGACAGTTCTGAATATTCTCAGTATCCCTAGAGATGTCTAATCCTGATTTGAATCCTTTCCTGTTGTGACACCGTTAAAACAGTGCTGTTGGACAGACTCCCGATGGTCCATGTTGCTCCTTCTCCCATGCACAGTGGCAGAAGCAGTGGGGAGGGATAGCAACTGCCCTCAGGTCCTTGTGAAACCTCCATGACAGTGTCTGGACCATGGTCTGCTGCCAGCTCCAGATTAAAGCCTTGCAGATAAGGAGCATCAGAGCCCACGTATGGCTTGTAGTTGGCAGGCACCTGCCCAGGGAAATGACCCTGAATGTTCTGGAGACCCCCAGAGGTGCATGGTGGCAGGGAGAGGGTTGCAGGGGTTGGTGTAGCTCCTCGTATGGTGCTGTGCGCAGGGAAAACCTGCGAGATGAGCTCAGCGGTGGAGCAGTGTGTTATGATGCCTCTGCTGTAAAGAAACTGAAATATTCAGCTTGTGCATTGTTTATGAGAAGAATTTGAAATTATATTTTAAATGGATTCAGAAGGAGAGGAAACTTTGTTTCTCTTTCTCCTCTAGCACTGGTTTTGTTTGAAGAGTCAGACTCTTTAACCTAAAAATGTTTCATCTTTATGTAGAGCTATAAACGGGCTGTGGAGCTCAACCCAGACCAAGCGCAGGCCTGGATGAACATGGGAGGCATTGAGCACATCAAGGTATGAAAGGTTGTCCACCCCCACTGGAATTTCCTAGTCATTTTGCTTGGAAATATGTATTCTGGAATGTAAAGCTTATATTTTAAGAGGTCAGGCTGCAAGGAACAACCTGCTCATCTCTAATAAAGTTTTCCTGCTTCAGTTGTTGACCTACTGAAGGTCAACAAAAATGTCACCGTGAGTTGACTTTTAAGATTCATCTCTACCTAATTAATTTAATAAAGATATCTGATGCAGAATACTGCCATGAAATTATGGAAATAGACAGCCCGCCCTGTGGTTGCTTATCTTTTTGAATACTTTAGCATATCATTATGATTTGATTCTTAAGGAGTCACATTGTGTGATATCCTCAAGCTATCTTACCGCTGAGTAAAATTAACTCTTCTGGTACAACGTAACAGAAAAACGTAAACCGACATCTTACCATGTGTGTTTGATCAAATTTAGGCTAACGGCACTCGGTGATCCGTTTCCTAATGAAGAAATCTTCCCTTTACCTGACAATATCCAATTCTATAAACTTTTTCCTTTTTATTACGGCCTTCACCATTCCTGAGGAATGAACTTTCTGTGTCAGGTAACGCGAATGGGATCTGTCACTTGTTTTCTTTGTAGGGGAGCTACGTCACTGCCCGTGGCTACTATGAGAAAGCCTTACAGCTGGTTCCAAACAGCAAGTTGCTGAAGGAGAATCTGGCCAAACTGGATCGCTTGGAGAAACGGTTTCAGGAAGCCCAGGAGAAAGACCAAACATAGCATTCAGTCACCAGTGGAAAGAAACTCATGCCCCTTGGAGAAGAGTGAGGTGGAAGCCCATTGCTCAAAGTGATGCTGAAGGAACTTTGATAGAACCTAGAATTAGGGAAGGCAAATGTTGAATGCATGCTTATGTTTGACCAAAGTTACAGGAGATACTTGGCTCCTGTGGGACATGCTGGAGAATGAATGAAAACCTTCCTTTCATCAAGATTTATGTTTAGACTAAACTCATTTTACTTGCACTGGGAGTGTGGGTGGGATGTGTACCTCCAATATCTTGGTTGTCACTGGGGAAACCATGGAGACAAAGCACTCATCCATTGCAGCACCTCCCGCTACTCAATACAGGCTCACCTCATCCACATAAAGTACCACTGATGGGCTTCATTGCAAGTGCTACCAGGTCGTTCTGAGCCAGGAAAGATGGTCATTATGGTCACATAAAAAGGTTTCATATGGTTAATGCTGAGGAAATGGTGGCCACTTTTACAGGTTTAAATATGACTTGAAAATTATTCTAAAGAAAGGGAAAATGGTATCTGAAAATCACCCTAGAAGGTTGATTCTACAAGCAGGACAAACGATCCTTTGAGGGAAAACCTCACCTGAATGTTTTACTTAGAAGATACTCATTTTGTAGTAATTCAGGTTCATGATGTCAGTGTTGTCAAATATCATATGGCTTTACCCTTTGCCCTCTCCCTCCAGGCCAATTAATTATTACTCTGAAAAGAAATGGAAGCACCCAAAGACAAAGCTCTAGGATTACTTGTCCTCCTGTCCAGTCCCCGGTAAAAAAACCCCCCAAAACCTACCAATCTAATCAATATAGGAGGTAAAGTAAAGCCACAGGGAGATGAGCGAAGATTTCCCAGCCTGGAAAGGTACTAAGGAGGCTTTTTTATGGGTGTGCAGGGACAAAGCCCATTTGTCATGGTGATAACACTGACAAAACACTTTATCACAGTGTTCTCACCCTCTCCCCCAAAAGATCCAGAAAATGGCCTATAGCTGATCAGTCATAATTCTGTATTTTTAAATACTGAAGTGGGAAGACAAATTCTCTTCAGAGTTGAGGCTTTTATTTTTGAGCTTTATTTATTTAACTTATAATAATCAAATAATTAATATATTTTTGCTGTTTTGTAGGAATTGGGCAGTATCCCTCACAGCTGGCCACATGGCTGGGTGCTGTGACTTGTATTGTCTGAAATAAGAAAAATGAGGCGTGCTTGAATAACCCCCCAATGATGTTTCTGAAGCAAAAGGCTGCACAGCACGTTGGACCCTAGTGTCACTGCAATAACAGCACTTCTGCTGCTTCCACCAGGGTTTGTACTGGTTCACAGAGAGTGTTAGTGGGAATTGTGCCTGGTGCCACTGCCTTTGAGTTTGGACATCAGGGTTGGTCATCAGTTTGTTCCTCTTGCAGCAGGAAACTGCTGTAAAAGTTGTTGTATTTGAGCTTGATTGTGACCAGTAATAATTACCGAATGGTTTGGGTTGGAAGGGACCCTAAAGCTCATCCAGTTCCAACCCCCCTGCCATCAGCAGGGACACCTTCCACTAGACGAGGTTGCTCAAAGCCTCATCCAACCTGGCCTTCAGCACTTCAAAGGGAGGAGCAGCCACAGCTTCTCTGGCCAACCTGGGCCAGTGTCTCCCCACCCTCACACCAAAGAATTTCTTCCTCACATCTCAGCTCCATCTCCCCTCTTCCACTTTCAAGCCATCACCCCTTGTTCTCTCACTCCCTGCCCTTGGCCAAAGTCCCTCCCCAGTCCCTGCAGAAGAGCAGCCCAGGGTTTGACATTATTAGGAAAGGACAGTTCAGATTAGGTATGTGATGCCCTGATACACATCTGTCAGGAAAAGCCCACGTGGCAGCGTCCCACAGAGCACCTGGCTTTAGTTTGTGCTGACCACGGCACCTCAACAAGCTCCAAATTCACTCACCGTGATGGGACAGCCATTGGGAGCAATGCTGGCTTCGTTAAAAAAGCTTGTCTCTAGCCACTACTGGTGGTCAGCTTACTGACAGATTATTGACATGACTCCAACTGCATCTGGAGCCCAGAAGGAGTCCAGGCTAGTGCAGATGTCTGCCCTGCCAGGGCTGGTGGACCTGCTAAAGCTATGGCTGTACACCCACCACGGCGAGGCTGGACTTGGGAGGTGCTGGTCCCCACTGGCCAAGGAGACTGTCCAGTGCCTATAGCTGGGCAGAGATGGGAAAGAGAGCCCATCGGAGGGAGAAGGTGGTGACACACATTTCTGGGCTCTCTTCCTTCAAACCAGCTTCTCAAGGGAGCAGCTGAGACCAAAATAGGCAAGTGAATTTTCACTTCTCCCCTCAAGGTTTGAGGTCCTGGGGCTGGGTCAGCAACCCTTGTCTTTTCACACACCTTTTACGGCCACAGACTTGCTGGCCTGACGTTTCTGCAGGCCCCTAGTGCAGGTGCTCTGCTGGATCCCATGCATGGAGTAGCTTTGCACAGCTCTGGTGCTGCTAGTATGACTTGGAGGAGATGAGGTCATACCAACTGAGTCCTGTGGATGGGGAAACCAAAGCTTAAATGGCCTCTGAGAACAGTTGGTTCCCACTGTGCATTGCAGAATTGTCGATGGTTCATTACTAGGGCATTCAGAACTACCTGGACCATGAAGCTCTCTGCTTCTCCCCACCACGGCAGCTTCACCAAAGCCCCATGTGCTCCAGCTGGCTGCCGTGGTACCGCAAGGACAGGGGTGGAGGGAGATAATGTTTCATTTTAAAACGTCTATCAGCTATAAACTTTGCCTCATAAAGATATATTAAATAAATACTACATAAATATATTAAATATATTCTACAAGCCCCACAGCAGTGTGGCTTGAAATTGTGGCCAATGAAAGGTATTTTTTAAAATATAGAAGGAAAAGTATTTTTTATAGTAATGTTTTGTGAGGGGGAGGACTTGGTTTTGTGTTTTTAGCTTTGGCTTAAACCTTACTTTGTCTTTCCTGAGAGACCTGGTAGAAATTATTGTCTCGTTCTTGTCCTAGAACCTGATCAAAGCGATCTTGACTTCCTAAAACCGATGCACGTGTTAAAGTCTAATATAGCTTTGGGTGCTCCCCTCCCAGATCCTGGAGAAGGATTATCATTTTTGCAACACTGTCTTACTTGCAGAATAATGTATAAAGAGGAGACCATCCTCCCAGTGAGGGCAGCAGGTTGGTTGGAAGGCACGGCGTGTGGTCATCCACTCACCTGAATTAGGCAGGTAACGTATCCACAGAGCTTAATCCCAGCTGAACCACAGAATCCCAGAATGGTGGGGGTTGGAAGGGACCTCAGGAGATCATCCAGTCCAACCCCCCTGCCAAAGCAGGTT